TAAAACAGTTAATAAAACAGTTAATCACTGTAAAAACAAAAGTTTGTCACTATGAAAACACCAGGTAGCGGTCAGTAGCAAGTAGCAATTACCCTCAAGGCAGACTACAGGTAACTGATTCCTTATTCAGACAGGTAATGAGTGGGCGTGTACTCTTCTGTTATTAGCCAATGAAAACACCTGTACCCATTGTACCCACTGTACCTTAGAGACTCAAAGATATCTTGAAAAAAAATCTACTTTCATTTTCCTATGGTTTTGTACTGTACCCTTTTTGTACCCTTTTCTCCATACATTTAATAGGGGTGTACCCTAGGGTACAAAAGTATCACCTAAAAACACAGTACCAATTTCTTGCCATATATGTGGCTACGAGACTGACGTCCAATATTTTACGTAAAGAAGAAGTAGCGCATTACACCGAAAACTTAATTTTGAAGGGAAGACAGGATATTGCTATGGACGACTTGGTGTACTTTTTGGAGAGATGTTCCCGTCTGAAAGTGCTAAATGTGGAAGGATGTGGCTGGGTGGATGACAGAATCAGAGCAGCCCTTCCACGGAGTGTTCTGTCCCTGAACATTAATCGAACATCCGGGATTTCAGTCAGGTACTTTTTATCTTCCAAATAGGGTTAATGAGGATATACATTTGTAAGGAGGCCATTTTGTAATTGTCAAGTTTGCTATCCAGAGTTTCCAATAGCCAGTCATTTGGACTGGCAAAAAGACAAAATAAGCCGGTCTGAAGATATTAATTTTAGGCAGTCAGTCTGGTAAATACATGTATGGTCTAGTGAAAAGTATATTTTTACCAGGTATATAGACCTTATGTCCTTTAAAAATGTAAACTTTCACATAGACTAACTAAACATCAGCTAGTAAATTAATGTAGAAAAATGCAATATACATTTCAGTGGCATCGGAAACTTGGCAAGACATCATAGCAACCTAGACATTATGCTTGAGGAGATGGTGGTGAAAGCAGCTAACCTCGAAGACAGAGACATGGAGGGCATAGCTAGCTATATATGTTCCAATCTAAAGAAACTCACTTTGTTCTCATGTTACAAATTAACTGATGAGTTTCTTGGATACTTACAGGTAATGAAAGATGTAGAGTTAAATTCATGAAGTCAATGTACATATAAGATCTCAATGTTGAACACGTTGAAAGTTGAATAAAAAATAAAAATAAATTCCGTTCAATTATTAAAAAATTCATTTTGATGTCATGACTCGATTATTGACAAGTGGTTATTTAAAAAAAAAATTAACAATTGTTTGTTCGTGTCATCTGTCCTGAAAGCTGGTTTCAAGCCCCATGAAATTAAAATTATTAATGAGCCTTTGGCGAACATGAGCTGACTATATTTGTCCATAGAAAATATCTAAAAAATTCTACAAATATCAGTAACATTTTGTTTCTTTTTTGCTAGTCTCTAAAATGTTTGACTTCTCTGACGATGAAAGATGGAGTAAGATTCACAAAACAAGGCCTACTTTCACTAATTAATTGTGGATCTTTGGATCATCTGGAGGAGTTGAACCTCATGGGCACCAGTTGCTTTGATATGGGATGTTATATGCAGTTAAAGCAGCGGTAAGATTGATTCCGTGTAACTACTGTATGCAGGGAAATTTTTGCCAGTTCATTTTTGCTGTTTCACCCTCTTCTTGATGGGGTAAATTTAAAATGGGGCGAATTCAAAATATGAGTGCGCAAATTTAAAATGGGACAATATTGTTTGCAAGTGCAAAAGGGCGAAAATAACCCTGTATACAATAATACTTCATACTGGTACATATATCAAACATGTTTTAACTGTTCATTGCAATTAGCTGTAATTAATTACTTTTCATCAAGTAATTTGATTTAATCTGATATTATGAAACATTCAGATTATACTTAATTTGATTCCACAGTTATAGTTCTATTTTGTTTAAATATACATTTACTGTTGCTTCCAAACTTTTGTGAAACACTAATGCCCCCCTCCCCCCCCCCCCCCCCTGTTGAAATTTCTCAGATGCAGGTTAAACTACAAGGTCAAGGTCAACATTTTTTATCCAGGAAAAGGTCATAGGAAGTAATAAGAAATAAACCTATGAAATATGAAAAGCCTAGATCTAGTGTAAACTGTTCAAAAGTTTTGTCAAAGGTCTAAGTATTTTGAAAATGAGCCATGATACTCTTAAGATCAAAAATATTTATATGCATATGAAAAGACTTTGTCACAATGAATACACATGTGAAATATGACCGAACAAACAATCAAAATTTATGGTCAAGGTTTAAGTTTGGTAATTTTTAGCTCTACTGGTCAGAGACAAGAAGAGCTTATGCGAAAGTAATGCGCCCGGCGTCTGTCCGTCTGTCTGTCTGTCTGTCTGTCTGTAACAATTTTTCAAAATGCTACTCCTCCTACAGTTTTGGTTTGATTTCAATATAACTTGGCACAGAAGTAGACAACACTAAGATACATATTTCTTTGTATTGATTTTTTATTTCGATGAACGGTGTTGCCGTGGTTACTAAAAATAGAACTTTCTGTGAGAATCTTTCAAAATGCTACTCCTCCTACAGTTTTGGACCGATTTTAGTATAACTTGGCACACAAGTAGACTATACTAAGATACATAATTCTGTGCATCGGTTTTTGATTTTGATGAACGTTGTTGCCATGGTTACTTAAAATAGAAATTTCTGTGAGAATCTTGCAAAATGCTACTCCTCCTACAGTTTTGGTCTGATTTAAATATAACTTGGCACACAAGTAGACTATACTAAGATACATAATTCTGTGCATAGGTTTTTGATTTTGATAAACGGTGTTGTTGTGTTACTAAAAATAGTAATTTCTGTGAAATTCTTTCAAAATGCTACTCCTACTACAGTTTTGGTCTGATTTCAATATAACTTGGCACACAAGTAGACTACACTAAGATACATATTTCTTTTTATTGATTTTTTTATTTCGATGAACGGTGTTGCCGTGGTCACTAAAACTAGAAATTTCTGTGAAATTGTTGCAAAATGCTACTACTCCTAGAGTTTTGGTCTGATTTCAACATAACTTGGCACACAAGTAAAAAAACGGTGTTGCCGTGGTTACTAAAAATACAAATTTCACGAAATTCTTTCAAAATGCTTTTCCTTGTACAGTTTTGGTCCAATTTCAATATAACTTGGCACACAAGTAGACTATACTTAGATACATAATATTGTTCTTCAGTTTTTATTTTGATTAGCGGCAAGGATAATTTTTTTTATTGCTGTTTTTAAATTTTCAAGTCCCAACTGCTACATTTCTATTCTTTTGTTTTAAGTATAAACCAGTAGAGCTACAGTCTTGACAGAGACTTCTGGTTTTTGTTAAAGTGGGTCAGACTTCAAGGTCAAGAGGTCAAATATTGTGGTACCTAAAGAAGGATCTTGTCACAAGGAATATTTCTATTAAATGTGACAGCAAAATCCTCAGCCACACAGTGGTTATGGGCAAGGTAAAAAAAAAAATTGTGCACAATCAGATGGACAGATAGGACAAAAATTTAATCCACTTTAGATATTTGATTAAGGGGAATTGGAGGGGCATAAAATATCTTCTTTGCAGTATATTATGTTATTATATTCCTAACAGTTGTTCAAATGTAAGGATATATGGCAACATATCCTCATAACAGTGGTTGACCTGACTCCATCAATGATAACTGCAGGTATGTGCTCTATCAATTATCATATACTATAAATAAGTAACTTTTTATTCAAGAGAACTTTATTTTCTTGTAAGAAGAAGGTATGGTTTGGAATTTATTCTTCCCTAAATATTGAATGTTCTGAAAAAGTTCTGAAATTAGCTTCAATATGAGTTAGGGACATATGCAAGGTACCTTACCTCCTGATAATTTTTCAAGACATTTTTATTTTAAGATTATTATAGTGCCATCAGATGCCCGTAGACAAAAAATTAGCAATGCCAGACCCTTTCACAAGGGGAGATAATTAAGAAAAGACAAAAATAGCATAGGGTCCTTAAAAAATCTTCTCAAGAGCCACTGTGTCAGAATGCTGAAACTTATGTGGAAGCATTCTGATATAGTGTAGATTCTAAATTGTTCAGATCAACAATTGTTTATATTTCAACTATATTAAGCTACAATTAACATTCTTTAAAAAATTGCATCAGCTGATTGGAACCGGCACAGATATGGTAGCAATTTGGAAATTGTGTCGGTCGGCTTATAGGAAAGAAACATATTTTTTAGGCCTTCTTTCTTGGCAAATCATCATCGGCCCAAAATCATTTCAAGGACCCATTTAGTCATACTATACATGAGTCCTTCCGTTTGTACGTCGGCGCAGGACCTACAGACCGATGCTAATTTCGAACACTGGTTGTCATTGTCGTTGTCGTAAACTTTTCATATTCTGAAGAATCACTGGGCCATTTTCAACCAAACTTGCCACAATGTATCCTTGGGTAAATGGGAGATTATCATGAATTAGAGAAAAATTAATTGCATTTTTAAAAATCTTCTTCTCAAGAACCACTGGGCCAGGAAAGATGACTTATGTGAAGCATCCTCAGGTAGTGTAGATTCAAATTTGTTCAAATCATGACCTCCGGGGGTAGGGAGGGGCCAAAATGGTCGATCAGAGTTTTACATAGGAATATATAGGAAAAAATCTTTAAATATCTTCTCAAAAACCACTGTGCCAGGAAAGATGAAACTCATGTGGAACCGCCTCAGGTAGTGTAGATTCAAGTTTGTTCAAATCATAACCCCAGGGGGTAGGGTGGGGCGAAATATTCCAATCAAAGTTTTGCACAGGGTTATATAGGAAAAATCTTTTTTTTCAAATCATGACCTTGGGGGGTAGGGCGGGGCCAAAATGGCCGATCAAAGTTTTACATAGGAATATATAGGAAAAATTTTTAAAAATCTTCTTCTCAAGTACCATTGAGACAGGAATGATGAAAGTTGTGTGCAATTAATCTCAGATATGTGAAGCATCCTCAGGTAGTGTAGATTCAAATTTGTTCAAATCATGACCCCGTGAGGTAGGGCAGGGCCAAAATGGCCAATCATTGTTTTAAATAGGAATATATTGGAAAACTTTTAAAATCTTCTTTTCAAGTACTTTAAAGCCACGATTAAAGATATTCATATATTTACATTTGCTAATGTCATTCCTTATGTAACAATGCTAATGAAATTGAAATTCAATTTTCAATGACATGCAGTTGGGCAAACCACACAAGACTATTAGAAAGCCTTGACTGTGACGTCATATGACGCCACGGTTACGTTATGATGCTTTTCTATAACAATGTAATACGTAATACTTGGAATAATAGGGAAATCTTTAAAATCATCATTAATACCTCAAAGCCATGATTAGAGATATTTAAATGGAATCATCCTGAGGTAGTATAGATTCTAGTTTGTTAAAATCACAACATTCAGGGATACGGTGGGGCCACAATGGGGGTTCAAAGTTTTACATTAAAATATGTTTTTAAAAATCCTCTTATAAAGAATAGCAAAGCCATGATTAGTGGTGCTTGTATTTACATGGAAGCATTCTGACTTAGTATAGATTTAAATTTGTTCAAATCATGACCCCCAAGGGTTGGGTGGGGTCACAATGGTTAATGGAAGTTTTACATAGAAAAATAAGGAAAAATCCCAAGAACAGAAAGCTACAGTACAGCTCACGAGTTTCTTCCAGATTCCACTGGCCAAGGTGGACCTCCGTTCCACGCTTTTGCGTGGAACTTTTGAAACGTCGGCGTCTTTGAAGTTCGGTCTCCGATCAACGGTGTAACACGGTGTGACACGGTGCCTAAAAATTGCGGGTATGTTCCTCCACGGTTCGACACGGTGCCTAGAAAGAGAGGCAATATTCTTCCACAGTGCGACACGGAGTTATTCCACGATGCGAGTCGGTGTGTCAGACACAGTGCATTTCTTCTAATTCTTCCTAAAATATTGTATAATTCGTTAATTCTTCAAACAATCACACAAATGAGGTCTATGTGTATAATCAAACTAAGATTAAGCCTATAATTTTAGAAAGTTTAGGACAGAATGGCCTATAACTTTTCTGGTAAATATGCCACATGTCCTATAGTTACTTATTTCAATCTGAAACCCTGTATTACATCAAATTTGTTTTGAAATATTTGTTGTACTTATAAATATTTATCGTATACAGATGCTTAAACTTTTATAATTAGATGCCTTAAAATTTAAATTCAATTACTATGTACTCGTGTTCAGCAAAAAAAAAAGAGTATAATGATCATAACATTTTAAGCTAAAATCCTTATCATATAAATAAACATAATCTGTACTAAATAAGTTCAATAGACTATAATATTATTATATAAAACTAACAGGGAACACACGATCATGAATGAATTACTTGATGGACTCTTCAATCGATTTTGATTTTAACCGTGTTCATTTGAATTCATTTGTTTAAGATACCGGTATCCCTACGCATGCATTAATATGTAGTAAATATTCATATCAGATGCATGATTTTACTAATTAAAAATTTTAATTTTGTAAAAAATTAAAAATATAAAGTTATATTCAGTGGGTATAGAATAAAATTAATAAAATACTAGTACGTATCTCTAATAATTAATCGTAAAATTTTTATTTTACAAATATCGTTCCGAGAAAAACAAAACAAAATTTACACATTTCTAAACGCACGATCTCACACGATTAAAAACACAAACGATTGAGTCTGATTTACGCATGATTTCACACGTTACATGATGATCACGCATGATACACGATTGGTTTGTCAACAATAACGTTCCAGCCACTGTATTTTTAAATTTATTTTAGAAATAGAGTTACCTCTGATATCAAATATGACAGTTTTTCATCATTGTTTATCAAATTTTTAGGTCAAGGTGCTTTTAATTATCTTGTTAGTTTTACAAGGCACACTAGATTATATTGGTTTCAATTACTTGTCAAGATGTTTCTCTACAGAAGGGTCTATGGCAGGATAGTGTACTACATCTTATTACTGTAGTAAATGGGTTGGGAAAATTGACTTGGGAATGGAAATATGATGGAAAGAGGTAATATTTACAAAAATAAGAAAAATGTGTACATTGTAGACTTAGAAAAAATGCCCATTATCAATCATTTTTAAATATGGATTTCAATCACACCCCTGACTGCTGATGGCCAGGGTCACAATAGTAATTGCAAAGGGGAAAACTGGTTAAGAATAGCATGGTTAATAAAGCTTTTCAGCTGTGGGTCTTTTGTTCATCTTGTTTTCCAACAAATTATGCCCTGAAACAGCTTATTTGACCAAGCTAAAATTGTGAAGCATAATGAAATCTGTAGGCATCTTTCATTTACTAGATCTTGACCTTTTTAAAATCATAGCTTGTTCTTATGCATATTGTGTTGCCAATATTTGATTCTTGTGTTAATAAGTATTTCTCAAGGTTATATAGAGCAGTCATCACATTTAAAGAAAATTTTAAGTTATTTTCAAAATAAGCTGTGGTGAAAGTGAAGTACAACACAGGGTTTTCCATGGGCAGTTTAACATGGCGGTCTGGCCACAATTAATCTGCCCTATTTAAAATATTAGCTCTTGTTAGATAAAAATAATATTCAACTGCACACGATGGGAGATCCTATATTCCATTGTTATGAAGTTTTCAAATTACACCAAATATGGCTAAAGAAAATCATCTACATTAAACTTATGATGTTTTCATAATACTGTATAAGCAGACTGTTTAGCATGGATTTGATTTTGGCATTATTAGTGAGGTAGCTTAGATTGCTATATTTGAATATCACTAAAAATTAATAGCATTTTAGTTGTAATGGCTTCTTTAGTGAGCTTCCAGTAATATTGTTTTTTACCAGAAATAAAATACTATAATGAAGGCAAATTGCTAAATAAGCACCTCGCTGAAATTTCCACTTATTTAACATTTATATAATATAACTCTTTTTATTCATTATTATATTCTTGTTTTTAGGTAGAAAACTGGCTCTAAAACTGGCTTTCAAGTACATTCCAAGGAGGTGTTTCTCATGTTCTTGTGTGTTTGTAACCATATAAAACTTAACATTGCTTACCATGACTGGTCAAAGTTTTTATGAATATGAATTAATCATGCTGTGTAAACAAAACTGCCTACCTGAATTCTACAATATTCATGTGATAATTTCCAGACCAAACGTACAAGAGTCTTCAACACTCAAAGCTCCTAGGGTGGTTTGCACCTCGGACTGTTACCAAGGTTGGAATGGAGCGTAACAGAGTCGGCAAAGAATTGAGACAAAGTCAACAGAGTCTTCAAAATATATATATTCTTTTGTGAAAAATTTGTTACATTTACAAAAAAGAGTGTTAAAAATATGAAAATATATCAGAAATATTGGTCAAAAATCAATTATGAAGGTTAATTTTTCTCAATAAAACTTCATATCAATCAATAAACAAAATTAATATAATTACTACAGGCAGTATTGCATGTGATCGCTTAGTATGGTTGAATTAAATAAGATTTTTTATGGAATTTTGTGCATGCCACCTAAATTTTTTATATTTTTGATTTTTGCATTGAGGGGAGCTCGAGATCACCTTGCCATTGTTGTTGACTTATTTTTTGTATTCTTTATATGTTAATTACCCGGTGATCTGCAATCTTTTTTAAAATATACATACATTAACATGATTTAAGGATAGATGATACAAACAAAATAATGGATGGCTGGATTAGTAAGTGTATATATTCTTATACCTATTTTGGTTGTTAATAGTTAGAATAAGAAATTTCTAAAATATTAAGAAATATTGTAAACTTTCTCTGATGTTCAAAATTCTACCTTTCTGCAGGCATGCTTATTAAACTAAACATTTATTTTGTCCTATAAAATCCAGATATTTTGAAAATTTAAAATTTAAAAAAAAATCTACACAGTTAAAATGGTTAAACTTATTATGATTTTTCTTAATTTGACTGACATTTTTATGTTCATAAAAATTGTATTAATTATATCTGTAATACTCATATATTTTGTGTACTGGTGATAGTTTGTCACTATTCTTAGGAGATCCCACTGTCTGTTTCATATCATTTGCCAAAAAAGTACTATTGTGTTGTCTGGGATTTCTCCCTATAAGTGATGTCTAATTAACTTATTTATTGATAAATGACCATATTCATCGAAGCTAATGTCGTTGTTTTTAAAAAGGTCTATTTTAAGATGGAACTGAACAAATGCATTCGTTGGATTCGATATGCAAAACAAAAGATAACTAAAGGATACAAATGTGGTTATTTATTTTTTAAAAATCTTTTGTAGATTGTAGAATTTCTGCAATCACCATGGGCTAAAAATAATTAGATCATTGCCCAAAGTACATTATACATGTATGATATTTATAAATAGGGCAGAGTTGTGAGGGGAAAAAATGGGAATACAAGTTTGATATTGAAATATATAGGAAAAATCTTTTCAAAAATCAAGGAAAACTGAAACTTACATGGAATTAGCATGGGTTAGTGCATCGTCAAAACCCCACGGGTGATCTATCTTTACTTATCACCCGTGGGCAAACTCGCTGAAAAATTGTTGTATGTAATTGAATATGCATGGGCCATTTTATTGGCCGCTTCACAAAGTCTGCGATGCCAAACAAAGTTCTGGTAAAGAACAAAACACGTTACGTATACATGTTTGGCATTGCCAAAAACATGAAAAACTCATTCTGTAGTTAACTCAGCTGATAAATCCCCTCACCGGTGCATTTTGCAGTTAGAGAGAGGTACTCCTATATTATATCAGACGGATATTAATGTCAGAATTGACTTTCAATGTTTTAAATAGAACTTCGCAAGTTTTATCGAGCTTCAAAATATTTACCATAAATAGCAAAGTAACTAGAACCGAGATCTTTGCAAAGCAACGAGTAGGTCTTCTGTCCTGTTTGACCGGAAGTAACATTTATGTTAAAAAAAATGAGTTATGAAGTTCAAAAATGGGTTAATCCACCGAATCTATGTTAATTATTGCAAAACTGAGCTATTCTTTGGTACTTCCGGTTTGACCGGAAGTGACAACGACGGATGGAAAATTTAGATTTAAGCTTTCAGTGACACATGTAACCCAAAACCTGTCAAAAACGGCAAAAATGTGCATTTTCTGACTACTTCCGGTTCGACCGGAAGTGACGACGCCGGATGTATTGACGACCTCATTAGATGAATCTTGATATTTTGAACAACTTTGCTTCTTTGATGTATTACAAATTCTCAATACTTTTTGAGATATCTGGAAAAAAACTTTTGGCCCCTCTAGATCCCTTAATTTAGGGGTCAGCCCTTTTTTCAACATATCATTTGAAAATTCTTTTAATTCTTCACATGCAATTTATGTTCTATATATTTTAACAAAATATTTTTGGTTTGAAGATAAAAAGAAAAATATGAGTAATTTTTGTTTTTAGCTCACCTGAGCCGAAGGCTCAAGTGAGCTCTCTGATCACATTTTGTCCGTCGTCCGTCCGTTCAGGAAAGCTGAAACTTATGTGGAAGCATCTTTGGGTAGTGTAGATATTAGATTATAATAATTATGACTCCCAAGGGTAGGGTGGGGCCACAATAGGAAATTCCAAGTTTTACATGAAAATATTAACAAAATATTGGAAGCATCCTGGGGTAATGCAGATTCTAAAGTTTTAAAATCATAAAAAGGAGGGGGGTAGTGGGCATGATAGGCATAGCAAGAGGGGAAATCTGGCAAAGAACTGCAGCACCCAAGTTTCTCAGATGAGCGATGTGGCCCATGGGCCTCTTGTTTTAAACGTTCTAATTTGTGACCCCTATATAGCGCCATTTTGAATAAAGAAATAAAAAAAAGCAAAAAAAAAAAAAAAAAACGATGTACACAACTTCAATCCTTCTATTGACCGTTCACGGTAGCCCAGTGGTAGAGCGTTCGTTTCGTGATCGGGAGGCACGGGTTCGATTCTCGTTCCCGGCGTCGCGTCAAACCTAAGACGTAAAAATAGGTAGCGACTGTTCCTTCGCCAAGCGCTCGGCATCAGAAGTGAAAGTCACTGGTCTTTTGGATATGGTCTTTAAAAAGGAGGTCCCGTGTCACGGTAGGCGCTGGCACGATAAAGAACCCTCTGCTAAAAGAACTACGTACTCTAACTCTTGATTCCCGCCTACATTTTGCAAATTCAATTTTAATGGCAATTTGGCCATTAAGTCTTTGTTTAATACAAGGAACAATTCTATGGTAATTGCTTAATCATTTTAATTCCAGCTCTAGATAGTAAATTATCATTAATTTCAGCTCTCGAAAAAAGGGGGGTAGACGATATTTTCTAGTGAAATCGAACTTTCAAGAATCACCATATTTTGAAATAGTCTTAAATATGATAAAATGTATTTCATATATTTTCTTATGTTTTACGCAAGTAAATAAAATATATATATAAAATATTTAAATACAATTATTTAGTTGTAAATAGCTTTAGAATTGGTAAAAAATCAGCATTTTTTTTTTGTCTATAAACATATGTTCCCCCCCCCCCGTGAAACACAAAAAGCTTTGGCATAAATTTGTAAAATGACAGTCTATATTACCTGTAAAAAGGAATTTTTGTTTCACGGGGGGGGGGGGAAGATGTTTTAAAAATATTTTCCGTTTTCCATAGATTTCTATAGTGAAAAACGCAAGTTTTACCATAATTATAGCGTTTTCTCTCTTTGGTATCCCAAAAAAGTAACGTTTTAAAAGAATTCATATAAATATCTATAAAAATTTTGAAAATCATTCGAATATGTTAACTTTTCAGAATTGACTTAGAGCTAGGCGGGAGAACAATACTATCGTTCGTGGTTCATTGTTAAGATCAGTTCACTTCCAAAGTGGGTCAACAATTATGTTTTATATCTTTTAAAGTATGTGGACACATATTTGAAGTTAATATTTCTCAAATTTGTTGATTTAAAATCATGATTTATATGTTCTGGTAGCATTTCACATGCCCTGTGGAGATGTAATAAAAATATTTTATTTGGATTATATTTATATCAGACAACACATTTAACTTGATCAACACATTTTTCACAAACTAAAATTTATCCTTAAAACTTACATGTGTAAGAAAAGTATTACGCATTCCAAAATCAAAATAGAAAAACTTTTTTTTTCTGTTTTACGCAATATTGTCCTCAGGTATTGACAAACAAAAAACAGAATCTAATATGATATTAATAAGCAAGATAGTGAAAATTCGCATTTTTCTAGTATATAGACAATATGGCGTCAAAACCAAACTGATTTGAAAACATTTAGAGGAAAGATGAACAATGCATACATGTATACCGGTGAAACGGAAATTGGTTTGGTGATGGTTAGTTTCGTATAAACTTTAGACCTACGTTATCTTTCAATTTCTTAAACACTAAAAATATTAATATTACGATCATACAAGTAGTATGAATCTGTCATTGTACTAAGACTGCATTTGGATAATACTGGTTGTATAGCAGTACTATGAAACCTCTCTGGTGACGGTATTGATGAACGTTAGTACGTTTATTCTTCTATATACCGTTATAAGACCTGCATAAGGCAGACGGTTGCGGGGAATAGACGGCTAAGTGTTTAACAGGGAACCAAAGCGTAAGACTTGAATAAGGCAGTCATTTTGTCATATATAGAAAAAGGTGGCATACCACAGTGATGGTGGGGGTGGGGGAAGTGCCAAGAAACAGTACTAGTGTGGAGTGGCAGGACACGAAGAAATTTACTTGCGGGAGATACCCGTTGGCCACAGTTAGTGGCTGTCCAATCAAGAAGAGACCCATTGTATTTGTATATATATTTGTACATATTTTATTTGGTCAACAAAAACCTGAGTTAACAGGTTAACGAACCTGAGTGTAACGCCTCGGTGATACAAGACATATCACCAAACACCAAGCTCGGCCGCGTTGCACGTTACATTATTTGGTGGCAAGCGTCGGGATTTTGTTGACCATGGATTCGTCCAAGAAATTGTCAGAAACCATAGAGCGGATGGAGAAGCTCTTAGAGAAGATTAGAACGCCAACCAGCAACGATGGTCAGACATGCGACAAGCCAAGAGTCTGGATATGCGACACGCAGTACTGATAAGCAACCGGCCGGTATGTCAGGAGATGTGTCATTTGACGAGTACGGCGCACGGCCTAAAGTTAGATTTCCAGACGAAGGTAAACCAAGCTTTACACCACATGCTGGGGTTGACGACGTTGTGACGGGCCATCTATTTGACACGCCAAAACCACGGAGGCAGTCAATAGAGACAGACAATGCCAAGACAGGCCATATAATCAAGCCAGCCACGTATGACGGCACAAATTCCTGGCTTGACTACAAATCACATTTTGAGGCTTGTGCTGTTGTAAACGGCTGGACAGATGACAAGAAGGGTCTTTACTTAGCTGTATCACTGCGTGGTCAAGCACAGTCAGTGTTAGGTGACTTGCCAAGCGATACTGGTCAGCACTATCAGACACTGGTCAGGTCCCTTGAGGAGAGGTTCTCCCCTCCTAACCAAACAGATCTGTATCGTGTTCAGCTCAAAGAACGAAGACAAAGAGCATCTGAGTCCATACCAGAGTTAGGTCAGGCCATTAGACGACTAACCAATTTGGCCTACGCATCAGCACCTGGTGATGTGCGAGAAACTCTAGCCAAAGATGCGTTTGTTGATGCTTTGGTAGATTTAGAGATGAGGATTCGCATAAAACAATCCCCGCAAGTGACTTAAGGCTAAATATGGGTTTTTCTATGCAAATGAGGTAATAAAAATGCATAAATTGTGTATTTTATGTACAGAGAAAGTTCAAATTGATTTTCTTATACAGACTTAGTACCCACAGTATATTAATGCAAGTGCACATTATGACGTCATATTATGACGTCATAGTTCTTTCCCATTCAAGATAATAATACACATCAACAAAACAACGTCGGCGCAAGGGCATATCCTATTTAATTTAAAATAAATGAGGTATAATATTAAGGAAAATATTCTTAAAATTAATAAAATTGCTGCACAAATCCTATCCTCTTCTTCAATCGATAAGAATTTTACTAAACTTACACTGGATTGTACATTTTTACCCTGTTTCAACTTAGAACTCTACGAATAGTAACTAAACAATTGCAGTGTCGACATTTGTGCAGCAATATCTTAAATATTTGGAACATTCTGCTTTTCTTTTTACCTTGTTTCTGTAAAACAAAGTAAGGTATGCCCTTGCGCCGAAGCGATTTTGTTGATGTTTCTTATAAACTTGTGTAGTAAAGGCTGATGACGTCATAATATGACGTCATAATGTGTACTGGCAATTGCATATCGTGGGTACCAAGAATGTATTAGAAAACAAGTCTTAACATTTTCTTTGCGGTATGTATAGCAATTATGGGTCTAAATTAATTATTTTGCATAGAAACCTCCATACGTAGCCTTAACTCACTTGCGCCGTCCTCAAAACCTGAATGAAGCCATCCGGCTAGCCGTTGAACTTGAGGATTATAATCGAGCAGAGAGCAGTCACCGAGAGGCAAGAGGCCGTTTGCGAGTATCGGCAGCAGAATACTCATCTGCTGAGGGTAGCCAGAACAGTCTTGAGACATGGATGAAGTCCATGGAGGCTAACATGAATACGTTAACCAACGAGATTCAAAAGCTGAAGCTGAATCGGCCAGTCAGGAAAACCTTTGACAAACCAGTGAGAGGCAAACCATTGCGTTGTTATGAGTGTAACAAGGAAGGCCACATAAAACTTAACTGCCCAAAGCTTAAGTAACGACCCTGTGAAAGTGAACACAAGGATTCAAAAGACAAAAAGGGATTAGGCAGGCCAGTACGAAGTAAACAGACGTCAGCCTGTCCTAGTGGATCAATTGGTGTTGGATCTTCCCTAGATGAAGCAGGCATGTACATAGACATTTCTGTGCAAGGTGTCCAAGCTAAATTCCTGGTTGACACAGGGGCAACACTGACATTGTTGTTCTCAGCAATGTACGAGAAAATTGCAGAGAACATCGGGCCAAAGCTGCAGAAGGTTAACCAGAGTATCTTAGCTGCCAATGTAAGTGAGGTATCTGTCAAGGGTAAGGCGGACATAACACTTAATATTGAGGGCATGGTAGCACACTCTACTGCTGTCATTTCGGAGATTCAGGCAGATGGAATACTGGGGCTTGACTTTCTATTGTCAAATGCATGTACGGTCGACATGAGTCAAAAGGTACTTCACATTAAAGATAAGAAAATACAATTGTTTGTTGAGGGTTACATAGGCTGCAACAGAATAACCGCAACAGATATACTCAGCATACCCCCTAGAAGTGAGATTATCGCGCAGGGACAGGTGTTGAAGGACGGCAAACATGTTCCAAGGAAAACGTTTTTGGTGGAACCATTTGTATCTGATATACCAAGAGAAGGCTACATCACAGCCAGAACATTGGTCTTACCACAAGAGACGGTACCAGTCCGTTTGTTCAATGTAGGAGAGGAATCAAGAGTCATTTACCCAGGAACAGTTACTGGACAACTCAGTGAGGTCAGAGTGGTTGAATCACAAGAGGAGAATACGTTAAGCAAGCCTAGAAAGTTAAGACCTGATTTGGTTGATATGCTGAAGAAAACTTCAAGCCACTTGACGCGAAAGCAGAAAAAGAAGCTAATAAATTTTTGTTTGAGTATACCAATCTTTTTGCAAAATGTGATAAAGATCTAGGGCGTACAGGCATCGTCAAACACAGGATAGATACAGGGGACAGTCATCCTATCAAAATATCACCAAGGAGAGTGCCCGCTCATCTAACAGATGAGGTTGACCAACAGCTGAATGACATGCTGGAAAGAGGTGTGATCGAGCCATCAAACAGCCCATGGTCAGCGCCTATTGTGCTAGCGAAAAAGAAAGACGGTACATTCCGCTTTTGCATTGATTACCGCAAGTTAAATAGCTGTACAATCAAGGACGCATACCCCCTTCCCAGAATAGACGAGTCACTGGATCAGTTGAGTGGTAGCTCGTGGTTCTCTACTCTAGATCTCTGCTCAGGATATTGGAAGGTAGAGATGGAGCCAGACGACAAACAAAAGACAGCCTTTGCCACACGCCGTGGACTTTTCCAGTTTAAGGTTATGCCATTTGGCTTATGTTGTGCTCCTGCAACATTTGAGCGCCTAATAGAAAACGTTTTGGCAGGCCTTCACTGCGTTACGATGAAAATCAGTCATTTCTACAGTGGCTGGAACGTTATTGTTGACAACTTGCACAAACGATCACGTTACGTGAATGATTCCGCACGATTAACGCACGATTAAACATGTTACATGAACGATCTCCTATGGTTCACAATCTTGCACAATTACTAACGCATACGCACGATTCTTCACGCAAAATAGTTCAAAATATTTAGGAATCGATATTTTCAAAACGAAATACGGCTTAATACTAATTAAAGATTTCAAAGAGTTATCAATATTTTTTCATAGACTTTTGGGAAAAGACCGGAAATTTATATTTTTGTAGCTAGATACGCGTAACGCAGTGGAGTAGGCTGTGACGTCATAGCTAGTTAAAAAGGCCCAAGAAGTTGCGATTGGTGAAGCGGAGTCAGCCGAAGATTGCCGATTGAAACTCTTTAGAATTCTCGCGCATACGTAGGCTGGCGTATGCCCAAGGCATACTGTTTAGCTTCACTTATATATTTACTGTTGTGAACCTCATGTCCACGCAATTCACTTCGCAATCTTTTCGTAAGACTTGTAATTCTAAAAGATGTATGACGTAGTAATATTAAGCAAAGAACTGAAATACAGTGCCGAATACATGCTTAAATGATTTTTTTAGAGGCATGGATTCCAGAACAATCTCTATGAGTACGTTTCTACGTCGTCCGTTTTTCGCCGACAGCTGATTTGTTAGATTCGTTTACCTGCGAGGAAAATTTTATTCATAGATATATTTTATTGGAATCTTTGGGCATCATAAAAAATGTTGATTATGGTTTATGCAAATTTTTAACTATATAGTCCAGTGTGAACACTATTTTATCATATCAATATAGTATTATGGATATGAATACATAAATTTATAATTTATATAGATGTAAATACGAGGGCCGTTAAAAAATTACTCGGACTGTGCTATTATTTACTCTTACAGACGTCATATAGTTATGAAATTTCACAGAAATATGTATTTTAAACATTCCAATAAATTTTGGGCAAAATTTCTGTATTTTAAAAGAATGCTTATGTTGATATCGCTGATGGCGAGGTAAGGAGCACTACAAAAATTTTGAAGCAAAAGCATGCGGAATATAAAATTTAACTTCTTAATTTTCTATAATTCGCGATATTTTTTAACAATTTTCTCAAATGTATCTTTAAATTGTTCTATTTTTATGTATTTAGATTTCTGACGTGATATTTGAAGTACTAACAGAAATATAGTGATTTTTTCTCTGATGCGATTCCCATGAAAACGGCTGTGAAAATGACGTCTCCTGAATTGACGGCGCTTGTTAAATTATGTGTAATGCTCGAGATATCGCCAACATAGATCCAAAATATGCCTAATTTAACATGTAGTAAACTAGGGTATTCGTGACATTCGTCCACAAATAGCAAATTGAAATTTCAGACCGTAAAATTCTGTAAAAAGGCAATACAGGAGGACGGTAAGTTTGTAGACGAAAATGTTATCCGGACTGTAAAGAACGTGATTGAGAGTCACCAAATACTATTTCTCATAAATACCTGCAGTTGTTGGTTTTAAAACAAAAAAAAATATTCTTTACTTGTTCAATAGATTTTAAGCTTGACAAGAAATGGTGTTAGGATGTTGAGTAGATAAGATAACTCAAAATGTACAGGTACTCTTGGGAAAATGTTGACAAAATGAAAGCTCAATCACAATTTTTTTTTATAATGCATGTGACGTCGAAGATTTTGCTGCTCCGTGACTTAATGATATGTCCTAACAAGATGTGTTTGTGAAACACTATGCGCCCGGCGGCAACAAAGTTTAAAAAATCTATTTTTAGCATATTGGTCACAGTCAAGGTCATTGACCATGGTGTCATTTGAAAGCACTTAATGGGTGGAGTATGCATCCCAAATATGAAGTCCCTGTCTCCTATGGTTCAAAAGTTATGGCAAAAAGTGTAAAAAGCTATTTTTAGCATATAGGTCACAGTCAAGGTCACAAGATCATTGACCTTGTCGTCCTTTGAAAGGACTTTATTACTGGAGTTTGCAAACCAAATATGAAGTCCCTATCTCCTATGGTTAAAAAGTTATGACAAACAGTGGAAAAAGCTATTTTTAGCATATAGGTCACGGTCAAGGTCACAAGGTCATTGACCTTGATGTCATTTGAAAGGACTTTATTAGAGGAGTATGCATACCAAATATGAAGTCTCTATCTCTTACGGTTTAAAAGTTTTGGCGAAGGTTAAAGTTGACAACAGACAAACAGATAAACAGACAAACAGACAGGACAAAAACAATATGCGCCCCGAAAAAATTCGGGCGCATAAAAATTCACTAAAAATTGATACCAATTTACATAATTTTGATATGAAATTTTGAAGACAATATAAGTAAAGATTTTTTTTTCTATTTTGTGTGACATTTTGCCCGATTATGTCGTCAAATATTATTTCTGTGCAACAAGTCCGCGAAAGTTTTGAACGGCCCTCGTATATGAATATTTTTAAGAAAGAAGTCAGAAAAAGTGTTTTTAATCAACTTCGCAGGGGCGGGCTTTCTAATGAATCTTCACTTCACTTAGGATTCACTGAAAGTTTATGTACCATGTATTTGCTACCATGTACGATTATAAACAAATTCAAAAATATTTTGAAAAGGAAATGGAGAGACATGAACATTTAGCTTCATATGGGACCATATTTCTAAAATGTCCTCAAACATGTTTTCCCTGTCGTCTAAAAGTGTATAACAACTTTACATCAGGTGCATATTATAGTTACTTGTTAACTTATTACATAATGAACAACATTTACAAAAAAAAAAAACATTTCATCGATAAAACTTGAATTAAAAAGTTGATTATTAATCTTTAGCTGGATCTACTCTA